AGCTATTCTGGAAAATGGATACATGACTGTGGCAAAAAACTAGATGAATACGGAATACTGTCTTGTGGACACAAAACCAGAGAACAAAGAGTGCTATTTAAGATTTTCACATCATGTCAACCTCATGAAGAAGCTACACTACTCACATACAGCAGAAAAGGAATAAGATACAGTGAAGAAGATAAAGGTGTCCTCATAAAATATGACGAAGAAATAAAAATGGAACTGGCTCAAAAAGGACAAAACCCAATGCATGTTGACTTCAGACACATCCACTGCTACAAGATGCCTGGAGATCAGTGTGAATTGGACTCTACCTGCACTTGGGAGGATCGTCTTGGCAAAAAAAGAGATCAAATTGTATTCCTGGTTGACAATAAACATGACAAGTTTCCCAGTTGGTATTATTTGCTAATTTTTGAAGATGCTTTGAATGAATTCAAAGACAAACAAGATAGAGGAAACATTGGGGTTAAAGAAGCAAAAAAATATGGCAAAGTCTTATACTCTGGACCAGGACAGAATCCTCCAAGTGATGTAAAGAAAAAGCTTAACCTGAGATTTGATATGAACACTTATGCTTCATACAAATTTACTGATTGCTGATTTTTATATAATTTTATTAGATCATTAGTTTTGCCAGTTACAAGTTTTATTTTGAATGACTATTGATTAGTAATAAACTTTGCAAAGTACAATTAGTACGTTATACATAAGCACAATTAGCATAAGTACATTAATATGTATCAGAAAATGTAATATAAATTTGGAGTGTTTTGGAGCCATTTTTTGGGAAAAACCATGATATTACAGGGTATTTTTTAGATCTTTAGCATTTTCTTAAAATGACCATAACTTAAAAATTTGTTCTCTGAATCTAATCAAACTTTCTACATAGCATAACTACTGGTAAATGCATTTGTTACAGTGAAGTGTCACTGTAAAAATGATAATTATCATCCAATTATCATGATAATTAATCATTATCATAAACTGGTTAGACTTAGCACTGATTCCAGTAACAAGTCGTCAGAAATGGAACATGAGGACATTCGATTATTTGCAATTAATAAATTTTTAATAATATTTTTGTGATTATAATAATAATTATAATATTTATTTTTATAGCTAAAGAGATTTGAAGCAAAATACTTTAATTGTTGTTTTTGGGTGGGGCTCAGTGGGCGTAGCAATTTCTACAATGGCAGCTGTGATGCAAGTTCAGAAGCCAGCAAAAGCAGTCCCCAGCTCCACTGTAGAAGGTCAACAAGTTATAATAATTATTGTTTGACTGATATTTTGTGCTTTTATGTAGACTATGAACCTGCTAAGAGATTTTGGCATTCTACAGTAATAGTAGGAGACTGTCTTTATATGTGGGGTGGGGTTGACCATCCTAAAGAACACAATATTGAGATAGAGAGAAGAGATTCATCATTTCTGGAAGTACTTCACCTTCCGACTGGTAGGTGGGAGCAGAAGCCTACCACTGGTGATCCTCCACTGGGTATTGTAAACCATGCAGCTGCTGCTATTGGGAATGAGATATTCTATTATGGAGGACATTCTACTCATTGGGACTATGATGATAATGTTCTGTACAGTTTAAATTTTGATACTCTCAAATGGAGGAAAGTTGTGCCTACTAATTCTGAAGATGGTCCTATGAAGAAGGATTATTGTGGTATGATTGCTGTAAAGATTGAGGAAGAAGATTACCTTGTAATAATTGAACCAGATCCTATTAATATTCATTATTTTAGAATTGCTATTACAGGTAAATTAATAGTTTTAATTAATTAGTTGATTAATTAATTACTGTAGGTCAATGGATCTCACCTGAAGTTACTGAAGATGCTATTACTAGAATTAAATACTTTAACTTGATGTCAGTAGATGATACCAGTGCTATTTTACTTCAAGATGATGATGATAATATGTCAAATAATTCTGTTTATCGTCTTACTTTTACTAGAGGATCAGTGGTATGTACATAATAATTAATAATAGGTACAATATTTAATAGTTTTGTGTAATTAATGAAATTATATTATTGTAGTTTCATTGTACATTTAGGTTTTTACAAGGATTTTTAATAATAGTGGTTTTGATAACTCATGGTTTACACATCCTTACCGTAGTGTGTTACTAAATAATCCTTCAGGACTAAAACTATTGGCTATTGGTATCAGTGAATGTAAGACATTTGATATTAACAAAACTAATTGGAAGGAGGTAAATCTAGAGAACACATTATGATAATATGTACATTAATACACATATAACATGTACACATAGTCACATACATACATACATGTACAGTATGTGGGAGATGTACAATTTAGTGCTTATTATTATTGCTATGCATACATCTTATTAATCTATTGTGGTTTACTTAATTATCTCTAGTTATGTAACATGCAGAGAACATTCTAGACTGACCACATGTATTATACTGTATATAGTTTATTGTTTTTTTGTTCTGTTCACCTTCCTCTGTTCTGGTTCTCTCTCTCTCTCTCTCTCTCTCTCTCTCTCTCTCTCTCTCGTTCCTCTTTGCTCTCTTAGTGTATCTTATATGATTATCACTTGTCAAGTGTTGAGAGTTGTTTGTTTAAATAATTACCAGTTTATATCACAGTACATTACTGAATCATTATTGTTTATGATTATTATAATTACATGTAGGTTGATATTCCTGGATCGGTCAAAAATAGGATATATCAGTCTCTATCAGTTTGGAATGAAGATACAACCAATACTTGGATAATAGAGTTTGGTGGAGAATGGGGTGGGGCATTCCTCAGTGATACAACATTCCTTAATATCAGTGAGTACTTTATAATGGGAAATTTTGGAGGGGATAAAATTTGGCAAATTGCTAAGTTTTCGTGATTGGCGGATTTTTAATTTGGCAAATTTGTGGCCATGTGTCATTGAGCATGCGTATAATGGTTCAACTGAAATGGCAGATTTTTATTTTGGCGAATGGCTATCAAAACACCAAATTCACCAAATTTAATCCCCTCCAAAATTTCCCGCTATACGGTATAATAATAATTACTGTATGGCAATATTTGAATTACTCACACTGTTAATTTAATATACATGTACTCATATAAATCTACATGTAATACACACCCACACCCACACACACACACACACACACTTGTAAA